TGAAATCCATCCATTAAAGTTTAAAAGAAAAAAAGATTCAGCTATGAAGATGTTCACTGCAGTATTAATTATATTGTTGCCCATAAGAGAACAGTCAGTGAGTTATGACTCATCCATACAGTAGGGGGATAATATGCAGCTAGCCAATGCTTGTTCTCCAAGAATATCTAATGACAGGGGACAATCTGGACACCATATTCTACTGACGAATCAAAGAAAACCGGGTCCTACATTCTACTAATTATAAGGGAAAAGCCACATACACGAACACCCAGAAAAAAGCCCTGCAGGCGATTGTCAAATGTCATCCGCGATTATCTCTGAGTGGTTTTCTCTTCTTTGTATCTTCCAACTTGTCCATATGAACACGTTATTTTTTTTAGCTTCAGGAAAAATGTGTTTGTTTGGTTTTCTTTCTTTTTTTTTTAACTGATGACTTCTAAGACTAAAAAAAATTAAAAAATCACAAACAAACTTTGAAAGGGTGATGGTTGAATGCTGGTCACTCCCCATGCAGAATACATAGCTGTGCTGGCACAGCACACACATCTCCTAAACACCAACCTGCAGACTCCCGGGAAACCTGCCCCACGTCCCTGACTTCCTCTTCCTCTTTCTTCTTATCTTTCTCCTTTCCTCCCAGGGAGACGCTGGCTCCCCAAGGTCTGTCTTGAGAACAATGAGAGTTCTGACTTTTTCAGGATTCGAGGCTGCCAGGCTCCCCTGCTCCAGGTCCTGCACACTTTCCTCTTTCTTCTTATCTTTCTCCTTTCCTCCCAGGGCTCTTTCCACAGGGAGACTCTGGCTCCCCGAGGTCTGTCTTGAGAACAATGAGAGTTCTGACTTTCAGGATTCGAGGCTGCCAGGCTCCCCTGCTACAGGTCCTGCACACCCTGGCCTCCACTCCCACCTGCACCCTCGCCTCTCTGACCTGGTCTCTCCCTGCCCCAGGGTCTTAGCACAAGCTGTTATTATTGCCTGACCCACCCATCTTCCCCCAGGTGGCTGTGAGGGCTCCTTCCCTCTCCTGCATGTACTAGTATGTTGGCATTACATAGTGCTGTCCATGAACTTTCCTTCAGAGTAGTACAGAATGCTATAAATATCTGTGATAAAAGAAGTCACGGTCTGGCAGGGCTGAGGACTACTGCTGTACTGTGATGGCTAGCTGGCATTTCTGTCTCTCACGCTAAATTGGCAACTCTGGGAGGGCGAGGACCGAGCCCAAGCATATCTGCTGCAATGGAATGAATGAGCACATGAGCAGGTCCGAGAGGTGAGTCACACTTGCCCGTGTGTGCGGGGACCTGACTGGGAGGCAGCGAGGACGTGCTCACTGACCTGGAACTAAGATCTGGGTGCCCCGCAGGCCTGGGGGGAGCTCAGGGTCCCGGAAGGTGAGAGCAAGGAGCTGCCTGCTCCCCGGGCCGCAGCACCCCTGCCTCTCTGCAGAGGCCCCCACTCGCCAGGCTGCTCAAGGCTAGTGGCCCCACAAAGACCACAAAGCCCGTAGCTGTTCATGGACCATGGAGGCCCGTGGCTTCACTGTGGGGGAGGGGAAGACTCCCTGAGGATTCTGGGTAGAATCCTGCGATCTTAGGCCACTTCCACCTCTCTGTGTCTGTAAACTGGGGTCAGCGCACCTACCCAGCCGGTGGTGGGAATCAAACAGACTCTAAACTGGGAGTCCTGGTCTTCTTGTGAGGACGATGCAGTCTTGGTCAGTTACACGGAATAATACTGGGCTTTCCTGCCGAGCATAATTGAACGGTGATTCAGGAGCTTAAGCTCATCATTGTCAACATCAAGTATCACGGACTATTTTAAAAACCAAATGCTGATTGTTGGAACTTTCTTGGTATTTTGATTCTAGATGAGCAAGGCTTTCCTGCAACCTATCGAAGTGTGCTGGGAAGCATGCTGGTCACCGCGGAGTCCGCGCGAATCCTTCGCCCACGCATCCCTGGGAGGAGGAGGGTTTGTCTGCCTCGGCAGAATGCATTCACTGGAGCAGGAAGCTCTGCTCTGGTGGGAACCCATCTCTCCACTCCACCCTCTTCCTTTGATCCTCCCACGGAATCGGGAGCTGGAACAGCGGAGGCAAAGCCGCGCAGATGTAATTATTTTAATTCAGCCAGATGCTGGGAATTAGTCTCTTTTCCTCGCAAGTCTTCTAGGGAAAGACAGAACTCAGCCAAAGGCGGCCCAAAGAAAGGAGCTGCCGGCTTCAGGGAGGGAGGCCCCTGTGCTGGAACAGCTCACATCCAGGAAACCACTGCCATCCCTGGATGCAGCCGGGAGGGGGAGGGGCGGAGGGGGCGTCTAATAGGTATTTCATTCAGACGGTTCACCAATCCCAGAAAACTAGACCAAATGACAGCACCCAGCATTTTCTATCTAGAGCTTTAGGATTTCTTTAGGAAGCACTTTCACTTTCATGACCTTATTTAATTATAAACTAGGGAGGGTGTCACGGGCTGAGCTAGAAGCTTGGGGGCAAACTGAGGGGAGGCCGCAAGGAATCCAGTCTTTCCCGGAGCCCTGTAGAAGCCAGTTAGGCACAGTCCATCTCTAACCTCACAGCAACCCTCTGGCATACAAATGGGGAAACTGAGGCTCGGGGAGCTTGACCAGAAGCTATCCTCCGTGTCAGCTGGGTTCCTCCCACACACACACAGGTGTGGTTCATCCTCACCTGCTGCTGTGCTTCCTGCTCATTCAGGTCATTGTGAGCACCTACTGTGCGCCCAGCCCTCTGCTGGTGGAGACACGGGGGCGGTTGAGGCCTCTGTCAAGCTCCTCCAGACCCACTGAGGGCCGCAGACCCGTGGACAGACCAGAGCCAGCAGGGGCATGTGCGTGGACGTGGTTCTTACTGTAGTGCCCTCTTATCCATTGCACCTCATTCTCCCACTGCAAGCGGTTTGGGCCCCCACAGCCTGGTGGTTAAAGACCCGGCCCTAGAACCGGACTGCCTGAGTTCAATCTACTCAGTGGCCATGTGACCTTGGGCAGGTCACAAGTTCTCTGCAAAATGAGGACCATAATACATCAGACATGATAATATATCATACTACACATGACATTACATATTATAATACATGAGATCAACAAGTCGATACATGTAGCCATTTAGCACAGTGTGTGGTTCAGGATAATCCCTCAATTAATGTTGGCTAACAATTTATACTTCCATACCGGGAGTTCCCAAAGTATGGACCAGGACACACCCTACCCCCTACCCCGGGTCCATGAGGCAGAAACTATGTTCATAATAATGCTGACAAGACGTAGAATTTTCTAGAAGTCACCCGACGGTGGTGCCACAGAGCAGATGTGCGGATGCAGTCCTCGCGTCGGGCGGACTGAAGAGATGCACAGAAATTAAAACAAGGCCACTCTTCTCACTAGATGGCTTTTGTTTTGGAAATACAGCTATTTTTCAAACAAGATGTTATTTATGTTAACCAGCAGCGGGGTAAACTATTGCTATTCTTAAATACATGAATACATCATTTAAATTGTTTCTAATCTTAAATGAATGTTGAGAGCTAACAGACACAGGAGTTGCACCCTCTTTGCACGGAGGTCAAGAAACCTTGTCTCTCCGCATCCCTCCCAGGCCCCTAACCTGAGCTGGACCCGCCCAGGGAGCTGGCTCCCAGGTGACCCCAGGCTTGGTCTTGTGCTCAGGCTCTTGCTGCCTCCACCTTTCCTCCCGGGACCCAAGCTCCTACCCGGGCTCCTAATTCCCCTAACGGCGTGCTGGCCGGGGTGGTGTGGGCCGGTGAGCCCGGGTTTTAGAGTCAGGCTGACCTGGATGTGAACCCTGACTCTACCCCTTTCTGACCTTCATCGGGTGACTTAGCCTTTCGGAGCCTCCATTTCCTCATCCATAAAATGGGAATAACACAGTATCTAAAACTGGAACTGTTTCAGGAGTAGTGATAACTTCTGTAAAATACCCATCCCCTGACAAGTAAGTCCTGTTTTGTCATCATCATCAGCCATTGGGTCCCCGGAGCCCCTCCAGCTGCGTCCGTCCACTGCTTCTCACAGTCGCACAGAACAAAACCAAGGCTGCCTGGCACTGAGACTCTGCTTCCCAGCGTGCGCGCACGCGCACACACACGCACACACACACACACGTACACATGCATGCACACCCACACACGCGCACGCACTCTCACACATACACGCCTACCACACGCCCTCGCTCTCTCATTCCGTGCAGGGTGTCACCCTACTCTAGAGCTAAAAGTGAAAAATGACATTAAATGCCAAGCGCCCAGGCTCCAAGAGTGAAAAGGCCCCCCTGCTGCAGGGTTGGTGCCAAGGCAGCCCTGGCTCAGGACAGCGAGTGGTGCCATGACGGGGAGTGGAGGAGGCCTGCGGGAGCCAGGGGCCAGGGCTCTGCTGCTGACGGCCTCCGTGAGCTAAACAAGGAAAGGCGTTCGCCTTCCAGCTCCGGGTTAGGGAATTCTGGGAGAGGGACGACTGAGGAGCCCTGTCTCCCTGTTCCCTCCCAGGACCGCAGGG